AAACAGCAGAAATGAGATCCAATGAAGAGCTTAGGTCCTCATTAAGGGTTCCTGTTGTCCTCTAAAGTACGGAAACCATGTTGACCGGTTCAGTTTTACACCTACTGAGGCCCCAGCTGTTTCCAGCACTTCTTAGAAACTGTCTTGCAAGGTCAGGATAGAGCTGAAAGCAGCTGACGGCCCTCAGGGTGCGGAGCTGTGAATTCCCATCAGCTGGGGGTGGTTGGGGGATGCTCAGGACACTCTTGAAATGCCCGGGCAGTAACTCACTTGGGTCTTTTTTGCTCTGTGTGTTACGCAGCAGAGAGCTGAGGTAGTTTGTGCTGGATAATTTGTTTCTGATGACATGCACCAATTTTAGAGGGAGGTCTCTGTGTTTTAGGCTGGTGTTATGTTCCTGATAGATTTCAGTCCTTGATTATCATTCTCAAACTGGGCCAACAAAGTACAAACGTGTGTGCCCAGAGCTCTGCTAGTTTGTTTCTGGTCTTACTAATGAGACCAGAATTTGTGAATCCCCTTTTGCTTTCTTCATGATTGTATCAATACTTCAGTACTTTTTCTTGAAGTTCAACAATGGTGTTTTCTGGTAATGTAAGTAGTACGTCTACAGGACTCAATTACATCCTTTCTTAATAGTTGGAGAGTATCATTCTTGTCAAATCCTGAGCATTCACTGTGGAAAGAGTAATGTTCATGCACCTGGAAGAACTCAGCTTCTTCCCAAGTAGTAAGAAGGTTTGTCCTTAAAAAAAATTTGAGCTGCTCTGATGTGATATTTGGAGTTATTTTCCCTGTAAGTAACTTCGAGTACTGGGGCGTGCTGTGTAAGAGGCATGTTGGGACTTTATAAACTGTTGTATAAAGAAATCGTCTGTTGTGTTTGTGTTTCTGGATGGAAATATCATGAAAGGAAGCTGGCTAGACTTTATCTGATTATGGATTTTTGAATATGTCTTGTTTTGGTACCAGGATCTCTTGCCCGGAGAAGATACCATACAGCACCATTTGGGAAACATGAGTTGGTGATCTCCCCCGTCCTCCTTCCCAGAGTGTCTCTCTGCTGCAGACCCAAATCACCACAGGCCTCCGGAGTTCCTTAGGTAATGGAATTCTTTTCTCATTCTGGGGAGCCCAGCACAGGTAGCTACCCTCAGCACGGTCGGGTGCGTGTTTGCCACTGGGTTACTTGGTACGTGGGACATCAGCAGTTCTCCAGCTGTGATAGCGCTCATCCAGCGTGCAGAGCAATTTGGTGGCGGCAAGAAGGAGTTTCCAGCGCTTTCCCCGTCGCCCCAGAGGAGCGAGGCGTCTCTGTGGGTTGCCTTGACGCCTATTTCTGCCTGTTAGGCTGTGCTCCTTTCTGACCGTGCAAAACCAACATCCCTGGCTGAGTGCTTGGTTTAAATTTACAGAAGTGATCAAATTATATTCCGAAGAAATATATAGTAACTGTGAAGGGTGACAGCCCCAGCTTGTGTGAACTGGTTCTGCTGAAGGCAAGGTAATTATCCCAATTTACATTAGCTGAGAATCTAGGCCAAATTTTCCCATGTTGCAGCTTTTTTTTTTGCTGGTCAGCTGGGGCCTGAGCTGGCCAGAGAAAAACTGGAAATAGCAGTGAGCAGTAGCATTCTTTTCATAACTGCAAATACGTTAGCGTGTAAAGGACAAACTGTTTGTAACTCACCACGTTGCTGGCAAAGGAGTCTTTGCTGGTAACTGAGACATTGTTTGCAGTATTGTAAATATCTGAAGATGGAGCCCTAGGAAGTTTTTTGGCTAAATAAACCAAGAACGTGAGAAAGAAGGGGCGGGGGGAAGATGTTGGAAAGTTGCAAGTTATTAACGTTTCTGTAACTTCTGTGGATTCATCTCTGAGAAAGCCACACGGTCTGAGTGTCTCCTGAACCTAGAGGTTACTGAACCCTCGCTATTCAAACCATTTATCTGCAGAGCCAAGAAAAACGAGGTTTAGATCATGCAGCGGAGAGACGGTCTGTTGTAACCGGGCCCTGTAATACTCTAGGTCTATGATTCGCTCCTGAGGTCTCCCTGCTTAAACTGACTGCTCCACTGAGCAGGAGTATGACTGTTTTGCTGCTCATGAAAGGTTTATCCATATCTAGTTGAGCTCTGTCTTTGAGGGACTGAGCCTGCCACTTACTGTGTTCGCTAAAGGCTCCGAAGTCTTTTCTTATCTCACGCTATTTTGGCCTTTCGTGGAAAGGGAAGAAAAACATAAATGATGACCATTAGAGAATGAGGAGTTGCTGGTGTGGTTCTTCACTGCCTTCCTGTAAACAGTTGTGTCAAAAGACGAAAGTAAATTAAAGCTTACATGCACAGACGTGCAGATGGATTTGTGTGTGCGTGCGTATATGTATACATCTATTTAAAAAATGCTAGTTCTTTTAACTCGTTACTTCGTCGAAATTGTAAAACTGAGGTGGTCACAGGTTGCCATTGAAAAAATGTCATCCATAGGGAGTTTCATTCTGTACTGTTAAAAAAAAAAAAGAATCCACCTGGTGTAGAGGCTGGTTGATGTGTATGGAAACAGCTGATGCTGTCTATAAGGCATCTAGCGCTGACTGTAAATATCGTGACTGGCCTGTCTGTAATGACTTGAGCTTACATATACCCTTGTTGATCAAGAAATACAGCCAGTGTGTAAGATGCAGTTTGCACGTGTTGATTTGCTGGGCGCGTTTGCCCGTGGCGGTAGCGGAGCTGCTGTTAGGATGGTGGGCGGCAGCTGTTCTGCCCCAGCGGCAGAACCTTCCGCCTTTTTGGAAAGGAGGAATAATTCCCTGCTATGGAGAACAAGAACTTGTAATGACTGGGTTTAAAAACAAAAGGATAAAAGTATTGGTTTAAACGCCAAAAATGCAAAAGTGTGGTTCATTTTTGCAGGTTTGCTTTGTTTAGTTTTCATTGAAAACCCTG